TCATTACTACCGTCCCCTCCTCTCCTCCTGTCGGCGCTTGCCGCGACGGTACTTATCATTTTCATTCGGACCCCTGGCCCGGACAGTCCCGTCCACCTGGTGTCAGGTTATTTATTTTTGTTGTCGTTGCGTCTGATCCAGGAACCCCCTGGGTCACTTCAGGTGCCCTCCGTCTTTTCCCGTCTCACGCCCGTCTTCTTCGTTCTGTCGACGATCCCTGTCGGCGGCTCCTGACACTTTTTATTTCGTCGATACCCAATCTGCTAGTGGTTCCGCTGGTGCCGCCATTTTATCTGGGCCCACGCGGTCCGTGGTACTTCGGCCTGCCTGCATAACGTCTTTCCCTTGGTCTCATGCGGTTCCCGGTACTTCGCCCTGCCGACACCACGCCGTCCCTTGGTCCCGCGTGGTCCCTGGCGCTTTGTCCTGCTGGTGCCGCCCCGTCCCTCGATCCCGTGTGGTCTCCTTGGCCCTTCTGCCGCCGCGTCACGTCAGCGCCTTGCGCCCTGTCCCTTCCCACTTCCTTCCTTCCCTTGTTGCGCACCTCCTATGTTGTTACCGACTTCCCGGCGGTCCTTCTCCGTCCTTGAGGAAGGAGTCGCCCCTGCTATTCTCTCACTGTCCGTTTGCCGTTTTCTGGTTAGCCAACCCATTTCTAGTCCGACGGCCCCGACGACTCTGGGCAGCCTCTGGCTTCCTACTGTCCGCGCCCACGCTTCCAATCTTTTCAACATTCCTGCCTCCGGTTTTCTTTGTCGTGCACAAACTGGTCATATACAGTCTCTCAAGTGACGGAAAATCGTTCGGGACTTACCAGTCCCGAGATTGGCCGCCGAAGTCGCACCAATAAGACCCCTTCACTACTACCCACCCACGTTACAACAGCAGCTTGCTCAGCATTTCGTTCTCCAGCACTGGTAGCAGCACCCCGCAAGCCCATGAGCGACTCCTCAATAATGCCAGTGAAGGTTGCAACAACAGTCTGTTACGAAGAGATGACAGTACTTAAAAGGATGTCGTTGCCGTCTGTGGAAAAAACAGCTCCTTGAAGGTCAATAGCAGCATCGGCAGCTGCCCTTCTTGCTGCATAACACACCCCTTCCCCTCTTCCAGAATCATCCTGTCGGTACTGAAACGCACAGCTGAGAAGCCTCAAAGCACGATGGCGATGACTTCATAGCCAGCCAAACAACAACAATCTGATATCACGACAACCACAACTCACTCCTACGACTACTAAATCCACGTTCAACATCCTCAACAGCGCCTGTACTCCCCCTTCTCTCGGGGAATCCGACCCTCTGCTGTTTTCTAATGCACCCGCCCAGCAGATATTCACCCCGCAACCCACCTCCAGCGGTCTCGACCGATAGGATAAGCAGCGCAGCGGCCAAAGGGTAAATTACAGGTGAACCTCCGGCCCCTCAGCTTACCCCGTATTGCTGCCTCCGTTCGGTTGAATAGAATCGAATGGATCTACCGCCGGAATCTGGTCAGGTGCATGTCTCTCAGTCACACTCGTAGCGATGTCGGGAGCAGCCACCCCCGTCGATAGGGTGAGCAACGCATTGGCCACCGGCACAAGGTAAGTCTTCCATTCCGCGCCCCATCCCCTGCTACTACTCAGTATAATGAGCACAGTCGAATGACTCTTCCGCTAGCCCTGGCTGGGTGCAGCGCCTGCGCAGCGGCCCGTTGGCGTATCCCCCACCTAACGAAACAAGGACGAGCCTCTTGCTAGAAACAGGCCAGCTGCACACCACCGAAATCTCGCCCCCGTCACTCTTCCTACGTGATGCGTAACCCTCTCTCGTTCTCCACCCCCGTTTGAGCTCTTCTTTACCTCTCCTTCACGCCACCACCGCGCAACTCATCCTTAACACAAAGGAAAAAATTCGAGTGAATTTTCCACCAGAACATGGGAAGATACATACTTCCTTCGTCCACCCGATATCTCCACGCAGCTCCATCTCTACCAACTCACATTCCACTAACCCAACGCCAAAGCTAACCCTCCCATTGACCTCGCAATGGGGAAAAATCTCCGACTAGCATCTTAAACTGCAGAAAACGGTCGAGAAGCGACCGAGCTGTTCCTGTTTCACTCTCACCTTCTCTATTCCCGCCATAGCTCCGCGCAATCCCTTTTTATACTAACTCATTTTCTACTAACTCTCACTCTAATCTAACGGCAGAATTGAACTCGCCAACCCCGAAAACCCCAAAAACAACCTTTGGTTCGCCCGAATCCATCAGGGATCGGGCCAGGACTCCATCCTCCCCTCCGCCATACCYAGCYCCTTCCGCAMGCACCCGACRCATCTTCCCACCCRGGTTCWTCCSCYKCCGTTTCGTGCCTTCGAGCTCCCTCTAGCCAGGCACCTCGTCGCCAGCTCGCTACCCCCACGCTTCGTCTCTCTCCCCTCTCTCTCTCACTTAGTACTCAGTAGCAAGATACAAACCTCCCTCTCTCTCTCGTCGCGCCCCACTCACCATTCGGCCATCTCCGACCTTGACATGCCGAATGCACCCCGACGCAATTTCGGGTCGGGTTCATTCTCCCTGATCGGCTGCGCGCCCCGGCTTCCCACGCTTAACAACTACACTCCCCCGACATCTTCCTGACGCGCACGCTCACACGTGATGAGTCTGACACAACGAAACTGGCGGGTAACAAAAAGATCGGGAAAAACCGTTGCCCGCTTTATACGC